CTTCAACCATAACAGTACAAGAGCAGACAATAGATACAAACTCAAGGTTAATCGCACCAAACTTGATTGCAGAAAATACGACTTCAGCAACAGAGTGGTCAATGTCTGGAATACTCTACCTGGCTCTGTGGTTTCTTCCCCAAACCCCCAAAACTTTAACCTTAGACTGTCTACTATTGACCTCACCCCTTTCCTAAAAGATCTGTAGGGGGCATGTATAAGCGCACCAACATGCCTACCGTCCCTGTCCTATTGTTTCTTTTTTTATTTTTCTTATATGTATCCATTTCATGTATCCATAACTATGTTTATACTTATACCTGTTATCTTATAATTGCTTAACAAAATAAATAAATAAAATAAATAAATATGCTTGGAAAGAAGTTTACACTATGAGATTTGTGAGCATCAGATGAGAAGACTCCTATAATGTCATTCTTCGTGGATTGTCCTCTTCACATAATTTAAAATAAAAGATCTTCTACTGAAACAGGGAAGAACTGTGTAGTATTTCTAATTTGAAAGAGCCAGTGTTGATGCAATGACTAAAATGTTGGGCTAGGACAGGGTGGGGAAGGTGAGATTCAGGGAGATTCAGACTCTGCCATAAAATGTCACTAATTGATAACATTGAGGCAGTCACTCTCTGTCAGCCCAACAATCACAGGATTGTTACCAGAATAAGATGAAGATAGATACTATGATTTTTTTTTAGAATTAAAAATTTGTAATTTTTATTTTAATAGTAAAATGAAATAATAGTTTCACTCCCATCCTTCAGTATGATCCAAATTCAGGAATCATGGAAGATGAGGTAAGGTTAAAACTTTGTAGGTCAATATGGCAGATCATGTAACTCTAAAAGCTGTGGAATAAAAGTTTAACTGAGGATTGATGAGGACTTTAAATTTTTGTTTAAAAGTTGACCTACTCCTTATGAGGCTTGGCCCTTTCAATTTAGGTAAATCTTCTCCATGTTTTTGGGAAGAAGAAAATACTGCAGAGAAAGATATCTCAAAATATTGATATCAACAGCGCAAAAGAGCTGTTGAATCAGACTTACAGATAGCACAAAGGAGAAAAGTGCTCAAGTTGAGATTTGGTTACATTATCCTAGGCAGGATGGTATCATAACATACTATTCTAAGCTAAGGTACCACAGAGGTTTCGCTCTTGTGCCTTTTAATGCTTTCCTTTCAGGAACATTGCTAATGTGAGATACTGCCCACGTGATGAAGTGTGCATAAACAGCCCTTTTTAAAACAACAAAGCAAAAAATGCTCTTATTGGGACATCCATAGTGCTATAAAAAACTCCCATTTCAAAAATTCCCAGGTGCTCTGGATGATTTTATGTATGCTATCTACTTGCAGATACACTCTGAAATTTGGTGGCAGGTTACTTAGTTCATTTTACTGTATTTTTCCTGTTCTTTTTTATACCTTACAAGTTTAGATATGAAATAGTATAAAAATCATGTCAGAATATTAACTGAATTTGAAAAATACAATAAAGAGATGGTTTGAAATCAAATTAATTTGATTGCAGAAGTATCAGAGAAAACATTATAGTCTGGAGAGTCTCCAAGAGTATATACCAATGTCTCTATTATGAGTGGAATAAAAGTAACATTTTAACATTTAAGACTGAGCATGAATGAAACATGATAGGTGAGTCTGCTATAAGAATAATCAGCTTGAGATTTCTAGATATAATTTATACTAAGACATGCAGATGCTGGAAGAATTTATGACACTAGTTAAATAATGTCTTGTGAACATGCTACACCTCAAATAATGGAGACAAATGTTATTACAAATGAATGGCAAAATGCAAGTATATTAAGTTAAGAACAAACTACTGTGATAGCAATAATCACCCAGTGAGTTAAAAAGTAACAGTAAGTAGGGCAACAAAATTGTCCTGCAATAAGAAGCAACACTCCAACACTTTGACAACCTGATGTTGGAATGTAAAAGAAAAGTATCTGGAATAAAACAAGTGTCACGATTCATCTGTTAAAATACTGAAGTTTGCTGATTGATCTCATTCAAGACAATGATGAATCTGCATACAGACAGGAGGTTATACAACTTGCCTCATGGTGTAACCAGAACAATCTGGAACTGAACACACTCAAAACTGTAGAAATTGTGGTAGACTTTAGAAGAAACTCTCCCATACTACCACCTCTTACAATACTGGACAACACAGTATCAACAGTAGGGACCTTCAAATTTCTAGGTTCTACTATATCACCTGACCTAAAATGGACACCTAACATCAAAAACGTCATCAAAAAAGCACAACAAAGAATGTTCTTTCTGCGCCAACTCAGAACTGCCTAAGGAGCTGCTGATACAGTTCTACAGAGGAATTATTGAGTCTATCATCTGCACCTCTATAACTGTCTGGTTTGGTTCTGCAAACCAACAGGACAGACACAGACTTCAGAGGATAATTAGGACTGCAGAAAAAACAATTACCACCAACCTGCCTTCCATCGAGGACCTGTATACTGCATGAGTCAAAAAGAGGGCTGTGAAAATATTTACAGAGCCCTCACATCCCAGACATAAACTGTTTCAACTCCTTCCCTCAAAATGACGCTATAGAGCACTGCACACCAGAACAACTAGACACAAGAACAGTTTTTTCCCCAAAAGCCATCACTCTGCTAAACAAATAATTCCCTCAACACTGTTCAGCTATTTACAAAGTGTGCACTACTATTACTGTTAATCTTTTCATCACTCCTTATCACCCATCCCCTTCCACTTGTGATTGTAGGACTGTAGCTTTGTCACTTGTATCCTTATGATTTATATTGACTGTTTCCTAATATGATTTGATTGTTGATTGTACCCTATGACTATCATTAAATGTTGTACATTATTCTTGATTCTTAACTAATGTATCTTTATGTATATTGAGAGTATTTACACCAAGACAAATTCATTGTATGTCCAATCACACTTGGCCAACAAAATATTCTATCATTCTGTCTATCTATCACATCTGATGGAGTAATAGTCAGGAAATAGACTTTGTAACTTCTGAGATTCCAATAACTTCTTCATTTCTAAGAACACAAGTAAAGGATTGTGCTAGATCTGGTCAAAGACTTAAGTAGTTTGTTGTGATGATTAAGGTTCTGGACTAAAAAAATGGGAGACTGTGAGTTTAGTCCTTCCTTAGACATGAAAAATGATTGGATTATCCACTCTTTCACTCTCAATTCAACCCACCTGCTGGATTATTCTTCTGAGAGCAAGAGGAGGAGTTCTTTGTTTGTTGTCCCAAGTTGTACAAATAAAGCAGAATACAAATCTAATAAATTTCCCTCCTTTAATGGCTAACCAGATGCCTCTTGAAAAAAACACTTTCCTAATTGTGTGTATCAGCAATTGTGTCAGCCTTCAAGATTTTCTCCCTTTGCTTTGTATCTTTCAGCTGTCATAAGTAATGGGAGGAGGGGGGAATTAATAATATATGGTTCACCATATGAAGGAATTCAGCCATTGGCTTAGTGTTTTGTGTGAATGAAGTTATAGTTGTCAGAGTGCAAGAACTGACAATGACATTCTCAGCATTGGAGTTGCTAATTATTAGTTTCCTTTATTGTTCTTCACCTATAGACAGAATCTTGCCAGACTAAAGCAACTATTTGCATAATGAATACTTTGGGAATAGCTAGGATGTAGTTGTTTTAATCCTCTTCCTGCCAACCAAACTTTCCAAGTTCTGCTACCTCTTTGCCCTCTAGAAAGCAGCCTCTCCCTCCTGGGAATCCAGACTGCATATCATCAAATCAGTAGACATAATAAGATCTGCTTGGATATAAATTAATGTAATTAGCTCTTAATATGCTATGTTGAGACATCAGATATACAATCTAATCAACCTTTAGTATGCAATACTGTAAATCCACCCTGTTTGATAATGAAATACTCTCTTTAGTTTATGTATTACCATATCTCCTTCAGAGGCTACCCTCAATTTAAATCAAGCTTTTCCAAGGGGAAATGGCAGGACTGTGAGGGGAGAAATAACTGGTCAGGAAAAAATAAAAGAAGCATTGTCAATTTTGTTAAGTTTAGAAGATAGCTAGCTTTTCCTAAGCAAAGGTTTATACATTTTTCAGAAGGGATGTCCGCAACTGTTACTGTAGTATCACTTTCCCATATTTAGAGGCTTATCAACTGCAAGACTTGAGTGTAAAGAACAATTCCTGTGCAACGGATATGGAATATCTCATTTCAATTTCTCACTATTCAAGTTAATTGGATGATCTCTGGGAGTTTTCTGATCAGTTTGGAGCCCTGGTCTGGAGCGATTAGCAGAGCACTGAGCAAAGCAAGGGAAAGACAACACATGTAGATTGTAGAAACAGTTATTTGTCCAGAGGACTGCTGGGAGGTGCTAAATTTTTTATTACTGAGAAAGAATGCTACTGAAAACATAGACACCCAACATGCTAGCATCAGATATATCACCATGTGCAGTAAATCAGGGATAAAGACTCTATCTAGCAGAAATGTCTTGCAGAGTCCTGAAGTGGTAAATAATCTGTATACGGAGGAGAAACTACAAATACATATAGAGCATCTCATTTTGAGGAAGATAGTGAACATTGCATGCTTTGGAATTGCAGAAAGCAAATATGCTGACTAGTCTGATGGCATTTTCTCTTAACTATGATTGGGAAGCTGCAATTACAAACACAATTAAAAGCAACTTCTGCAGCTATATTTCATGGAAGAGGGTGAAAAGATGGCCAAAATGCTTTAGAGTAATGCCATTTTCCAACTCTTCTTCACCTTGTTTTCTACGTTTTTTCATATATCAATTGTTCATAAAGTACCTTTGAAGCTTTGAAAAAACTTTGAAGCTTTGTTTCAAAGTGTAAGCTGATCCAATTTCCAAATGTTGCTACTAAACATTTGATATTGATGCTAGAAAATTAAAATAGCTATATGTATGGAGAGGCAAATACTACAAACTATAAACTAAGAATTTAGTTGTGTGGAACTATGATTTTATAGAGACTGTATCTGTAATATTTGGAAAAACAACAGAAGCTTATGAAGAATTTTTTTATTGGAGACCATGTTACATTGGAAAGAAGTACAAATAAAAACAGAAGTAAACACAACAGCTTATCTTTAAATGTTCCATGTAATGCATATGACTCTTAATCTTTCTGCCTTTTTTCTAATTGTGCTAATTTGAAAGCAAGACTGATTGAATTTGACGGCCAGATTGATTGTTTGAAGTCATCTCTGCCTAGCTGATTAAAACAACTTGAAATTATAGAGGTAAAGAAGGCTGGGGGGGAAAGGCGGCAAAAGTATTGCTTCTATGAGTTTTAGAGTTGCTCCCACTTATTGCAGGGCTGAATACAGCTCCTGTGGTTTTCCTGTTAATTCTGAATTTTTATGAACATAAATAGTGTGGTATTTCAAGAAATAGAACTGGAACAAAATAGAGCAAGTGGAGATTTTCATAACTAGGAAGCCTTTATTTTATTATTGGCAAATGTTCATTTATGGCACATTTTAAGTAAGGGTTTGGAAAAGAGGACAAGAAAAAGTAGTTTGCAGATAGACACAGAATTGTTAAGACAGTTTGCTTATTGCTTTGAAAGAAGATTCCAAGACATGTTAAATACTGACCTGATAAAGACAATTATCTGCTTACTGTAGTTAGTAGCAAGTTAAAGGATACAAGAGAGAAACCAGCAAAGGTTAACTAACTTCACAAAAAGTATGAAGGTGAAAGAAAGATTGCTATTTTACTCCCAACAGTAAAAATTTGTGTCACTTAGGATTGAACTGTTGGGTTGCTGGTATTTTTTGAGCCTATACTGATATTAGTTTACCTAATAGTAAAAAGTCTTCAGAAGTAAAATATTTTAGAAATACAATACAGATTAAAAAAACCCAAAATCCAGATAAGGAATGTCTACAAGCTCATTTTGCTTTAACTCTAATGCCACAGTTGACTTGTTATACCTTGCCCATTTCTTTTTTATGTTTGTGCTAAATTATAAAGAATGCCAAGATTACTAGAAAATGGATGCAGATAACTGCAATTGATATGAAAAGGTATAATCTTATTTTTATAATATCAGCTAAGACACCTACCTTATCCAACAATGTATCTTTTTATACAAAGGTAAAACAATTCTGTTACTCATAATAAACTGGTAAGTTTACATTTGATTTTCTGAGACAAATATGGATAGCAAGGCATAGTTTAGTAAATTAACTTGAGGAAAAAGATGACATAAATGAAAGAGACCAATTTAGACCAATTTAATATTTCTCATATAATCAACTTCACTAGGACATCCAACCTCTGTTTAGCCACACACACTTTGTACCTTCTTCTCAGTTCACAAATAAAATGGAATTGCAAGTTCTTACACACTTCATTTAGTTATATCTAACATACTTTGTATTTGTAAACAAAATTAATTCCAGCAAAACCCTTTTAGAAACAATTTAATTGCTTTAGAACATATTATCCGATTAGATTTAAATTGGTGACAACCATGTGACTTCTCAGAAGAGTTAAAACTAGAAATTGTATGAATCCTTGAAGAATTTTTTCCTTTGAGCAAAGCCATGACTGATTTTGGCTGTTTTGCAAGGTGTTCAGGGATTTGTAGTTCCAAAGGTTCAGCTCAGCCAAGCTGCCATGCCATTTGAGGGCTTCTAATGGCCATTTTTGCTGGGTCTCCTGGTAAAGCAAAGTAGTGGATTAAGTGAACTGGTCCAACTTGAAGGTTTGGTTAGAGGACTGAACATCTTGGGGCTTTTTTTAATTACAGCCCATAATACCGACCACTGTAAATAGTTTAAGAAATAAACTACCGTAGCACCATTCACATTTATCACCAAAAACAGTGAAAAAGGGAAAGATTTAAAATCAATTTCTTTCCACAAAAATAATTGTTTAATTTCTTTGGTGAAGTGGCAGCTGTAGTTCCACTGATTGAATATATTAATATTCAATTTTCCAGTGAGTTGGCTGTTCACAGGTTTTCTCATCATCTCCACAAAATCTGTTGTAAGTGGTTTTGGGATCAAATCCCAGAATTTCTCTTTCTTCATGAATGCGGAAAGAAAATGTTGAGACTGAGGTTCCTATAAAATATCTGTGAAGAGAAAATATCAGTGGATAAAAAAAAACATATTCCTAAAAATTTTTGCTATCAGTTTTCCATTATTATTATCCATTATTCATTTATTTGTAAAATTTATTGGCCACCCATTTTATCTCAAGGTAACTCCGTTAATGCTATGGGAATAATAAAATGATTTGGTCTTTACATGTATTAGATTTATCCACACACCCATCAATACAAAATAATAAAGTGACCATGATAAAAAAATAAAGCAAATACACCAAATCCAAGCATTACAACCAAGTGTGTGAATTCCTACTTCAAATGCTCTATGAAAAGTTTCATTTTGAATAGGAGAGAGGGAGGAAGGGAGAGAGAGAGAGAGCGATACCTGGCATGTGCACATATCCATTGGTCAATAATTGCTATTCCTCCATCTTTGTAGAGATCTATTTCCTCCCAAGTAGGTTCAAATCTCACCATCTCTGGAAGAAGTGCTTTTAATTGTTCAACCTCTGAAAAAATACATTCAATCAACATTCTTCAAGTGGCAAATTTCATCTTACCCAACATATTAAAACAAAATTATCTTTTTTGCCTATTTAAAGATTTTAATCAAAGGAAAACAATGCAGCAAAGTATTGTAAAAATACTTTTCTTTTTCTGCTTTTTCATTTTATAATGTATACTTTTCTCTTCATTTTCTTTCTTTTAAAATGCTTTTTAAAATGTATATTTCTAAAGCCTGGAACCTTTCAATCAATGAAGATCTACGGATATATCAAAGTTGGACCGTTGCAACAAAAGGCTAATAATGTACTCATGGAAGAACATTTGAACATCAGTCTCTAAATGTTGTCTTAACAAAATGTGTGAGTTCTGCTTCTTGAATTAGTTTTGAACCAAAAGGGAAGGAAAATGTGATCATATAGTACAGATAGTCCTCAACTTATTATCAGTTGCTTAGCAGCCATTCAAAATTATGATGGATCTCCCAAAGCTACTTATGACAAAGTTTCAAACTTATGGTAGATGTAGCGCCCCTGCAGGTATGTGCACAAAATTTAGGTGGTTTCGGTCTTATGACTGACCTCAGAAATGTGGTACTGGCCTCCACATATCTCCCTCCCATCCTGCCCCACCAAGTATCCACAGGGTCCCTCACACTGGTGCAAAATTGGAGAAGGGCATCATAAAGAAGTTGTTCTATTGGCTTGGCTACAAATACTCCTAATCTCAGTATCTCCATGACTTCTACACAGAATAGGTAGGAATGGATGGCACGTTTTCTAATGGAAGAAACTGAAATATTCATATCTTTGAATGATATTAAAACAAAAATTGACAATCTCAGATTGTGGAAGAAAGTAATTCAAGAACTACAAAAAGAAAAAGAAGGATGTAAGTTATCAGCACTAACATGTAGCAGTTTTTTTCCTAATTCAAACACAAATGTTTCAAGAATTTTACAATCTTCACAGGTGGCATTTCAAACAGCAATGAACCAGCTGAATGAAAAGAGGTGGCTGCAGCAAAAATGATTATATAGTCATTGCACGCAAAACTAAACAAGCCATTTAAATTTGCTTCCAAAATTTGGACTCTAATTTAGCTTTTTTCCTAGTCATCTCTTGACAAGATGAATTTCATTTACATTTCCAAGCTCCTCTTTGCCACTTAAATTGATAAATATGAGGATGTATTTCTCACAAATTATTCCAAAAGAATTAACAGAATCTTTCATGGCAGTGAACCCATGTCTTTCTTAAATAAATAAATAAAATCAAACAAGACGAGGTAGAACAGGGGTGTCAAACTCATGGCCCGTGGGCCGAATGCGTCATGTACTGGCCCTGCCCCCACCCAGTTTAGCGAAGGGGAAAAAAGTCCCAATATGTTATATGATGCCGCCGTGACATCACGAGTTTGATGAATCACAATTGAAGAAGGCTGCAATTTATCAAGTGTAGGACATAAAGAAAAACACCAATGCATTTTTAAATACCTTCAATAGCTCAAACAATTGCAGTGTGCATAAAACAAAGCACAGCTGCTAGCAGCATATTTCCTTACTGTTAACTGTGGATATCATCATCATCATTATCATTTTAGCCACTGTCTATCCACTTTAGGATAAAGGCCACTTCCGCATGTTTCCAACCAATACAGTCCTGAGCTTTCTTTTGCCAATCAGCAATATCCATAACTGTGGATATAAACACTACAAATACCCTCATTTATTTGAGGTTTTCATATACTTTGATAGAAATCAGCTCTTGCCAATAGTTTGCTGTTTTCTCTGTCTTTATTTTTGAGAATTGAAGAGACTATATTATTCCAATCTATACTCTACTCGGAGGATATGCTGGGTTAAACTGTATGTACAGGACTGCCACAGAACTTGTCAACTGTTCTTGTGGAGAATTTACAGTCAAATATTTTCAGAAGAATCAGTGAAGTCTTTTAAACTAGAGTACATAAGATAGGACTTATGCTTTAGGCCACATCCTCTAATTTTTCTATTATAGAAAATGCAGGATGGCAAAGATACTTCTCCCTCCTAAAATATACAGATGGAATTAATAATATTTTTCTGGCCAAGATCTCTTAAGACAAAATGTCCCATATGAACCTGGGATGAAAAAGAGAAAACATGAAAGCAGTACAATTCCAGTTCTGTTATGACTAAGAAATCTTTCCTTTTTTGATGCTTAGTATGTTTGATTGAAGGTCTATTATATAATTTTATTCTTCCAGAATCATGGGAAAGATATTTCAAGAACTTAAAACAGCAAGGTTGATACTGCTAGCAATTTATCCAATGATCTGACAGACCTACTTGGATTGGTGGAATTTGCCAAAGGGGTGGATTTGATTGGCTAACTGAAACTGGAGGTGGCACTTGGATGTGACCTGATTCCACTGGATATAATAAAGAGAAACGTGGACTGATGGCTTTTATATCAGCAACTCTCTTTACAGTTATTGATCAGATTGAGCAAATTCACATAGATTGGAATGTTGCACTTACAATACTTATCTATTTAAGAAAAGCAATAGAAAAGGTCCTTCAAATTATAAACCAATGTTTGCTCAGAACCATCAGTAAGTTTTATGCCTCATACTTGCAATGGAAGATTCACAACAGTTGGAGCAGGAAAGAACTCTGGTATGGTAGTCTCTTATGCTCCTCTACTTAGATTAAACCTAAAACATTTCAAATATATCTTGTAAAATATTTTGTCCAGCAATGATTTTATCTTTGGCATAGTTTCATGTGTGCAGTATAATGCTAAACGAACATTTTGTTTGTAACAGATTCAAAAATATTTTGCTAATTAGAGAAAAAAGAATACATACCCTGCATGATGGCATCAGTAGCTACAAAAACCTTCTCCAGCTTGTACAACTTCAGGAGGTTGTGGATTTTCTTAACAGCTCCCTGAATGCTGGGCACATCACTTCTGTGACCCCAGATGAAGTCTTTTCGCCTCAGATGCACACCAAGATATGGGCCACCAGTGGCTGTGCCCAATTTTACCTAGCACATAAGAACCAGTACATGCTGAAATTGAAATAAAATGGCATTGATTCAGTAAGAATACATCTCTACTCTTTAACGTATTTTCTTTAACACTGCTTAAGGATAAATTTGATATATTTAGTAAAAGTCTATTTGATAAAACTTTCAATATTCATAAATTATTAATGTACATACTAGGTTTATATACAAATTTTTAACAATAGCTTCAACTAGGGAACTCTGTATATTGCTCCCAAATATATAAATATACATATTTAATAGAGAAATCCTTTATAAAGGATTGCATCTACTTAGTCCCATGTATACATAATATATGTATATTATTTATTATGTAAACCACTTTCAATTGTAAGGGTAATGTAAAAATGTCATAATCAATTGCTAGTAAGAAACAGCAAGTGATATTGCTGTTCACTCTTCAGCAATGCAGGCACTTCTACCCAGCTATATATACTCTTATCAGTTAAGTGTGGTTGGGATGTGTTCAGATATAGGCTGCTTTTCATATACAGTCTTCAATAGTAACAGGCCTAAATATATTGCCTTTGATAGAAGAATGAGTCCTTCAGCAGATGTGTGTATTTCCAGAGCTGAAAGCCATAAGATTTTGCAATAATTCTGCACTGGAATCCAGCAATATGTGCCACATTATTCAAAGTTAACAAAATCATATCAACAGAGTGATATCTTTTGAATCAAGGCTGTCTATCTGATTTCTTGTAAGCATTATATGAACACTTCTCGCAAGTATCTACCTGGCATGGTCTTCTTTTTTTGCTTCCACAGATAATCCTAGTCTTGCATTGCATGGTCTTCTGAATAAGGGTGCATTCTAACACTGCAGATTAATCTTCGTTCAATTTCTTAATTCATAACCAAATGAAAAATTTAGAGAAACTTGGCCATTGAAAAATATGGTAGAGAGACTCTTCTAAAAGGATTCTACTTACATATTCACAAAATTGTATTACTTTCTTAAGGAAAATAGAAAAATGGTACTTAATCTTCGCAGAGAATGAGAAAATTATGGCACTTTTGTGTTCTAGTTTTGGATTCTAATTTTGAATGCTGCCTTTATTTAATCTTGCTTGTGCCAAACTAATCTCCTTCCATCAGACAGAAGAAGCATTCAGTCTCTCTCTCTCTCTCTTTTACCATAAACATTTTTAAACAATATAGTTTTTAAGCATCTATTATTGGATAAACTTCATTTCAGAAGTTTAAAATGTTATTAAATAATAAAATGCTTTCTACTTTCCTTGTTGTAATTATAACTGCCACAGAACTGATAGCAGTCTGTTAACATGTCCTTAAGACAAATCCTTTTCTAATAAAACAATAAAGAACTCAAACAGTAGAATTCCTTCTTGAACTATTTTTCTGACAAGAGCATAAATATCCAAAAGAAAAGGCATCACCTATAATGAACTTCTAGAATTAAAGATTTAAATGAAATACACAGCAGCCTAGCAATTTATACTCTGTTTCAAAAGAAGAAAAGTTTATTTGGTTATCATGAACAGACATATTAAAGCCTACATTTATTTAGTTTAGGACAAGAGTGGGAGGAGTGGGCAGCCTTTGATGACTGGGATTAACGGTTTTTTAAATAATTGCAGGTCACTTGTAGGCAATGATGCTGCATGAGACTGAGATTTTCTGTCCCCACCACTGGGATAAGGAGGAGTATATTTTAAAAGTCTATTTTAAAGTTTGTGCAACAATTTTGGTACACTTCTCATTTCAAAATGATAGGAAAGCATGCCACAAATGCTTGGTCATTACAGCTGGAAAACTCAGAGCACCTGAAGTTGCCCTGACTGTTCCTCGCATACTGCTAATTGTAACATTCACTTTCAGGGAAAGTGCATGTCTTCAACAATAGGAACAATGTTTTGGTAAATAACACATTTATGTTGAGTCATTGCTATTTTTTCATTGTATATTGCTCATATATTACTCATAAATCCTAACTCCAAACATCAATAGAAAATCAAATAAGGTATATGGTCATTGAGGGTATAAATAAAACCATTGGACTTATTCCCTTTTCATTATTGAAAAAATAAGTAAATGTTTTACCACTGTACATGGTGAGTTTTGCTGCTCTTGAATTGCTAAGGGTCAGTTTTCAAGTGGTAGGTGATTCAGGATAGAAAGGAGCCATGAGGTTAATCCATGAGCCTCTCCTTTTAATTATAATTCCTGTCAGAATTTTATTATGATTTTTAAATTATGTTTGACTTAATTATCTCTTTTGAAATGTCTACTCCATTATATCACTGAAACGGGGCAAGATCCTTCCATAGAAATATAAGTGGTACTGAGAAAATTTGGAGCAAGTACAAGAAATATTTAATATACTCTTCATCCATAAAACATTAATCCAGTCCCACTTTCTATATCTTACAGTTTAAGTGATCTACCTGAATTTTAGTGACCAGTGAACATAAAAAAAATGAAGGCTTGCAAAATTGTTAAATTCAAAATCAATCTGTACATTACTTAAATTACATTACTTTCATATTTCTCCAATCTTCAGAGTACCATGTTCTGTCCTTTTCATCAGAAGAATTTAAATATTTAGCTCTAAACATGTCTCCCACCACACGGAGGTGTTTGGCAAACACCATACTTCGCCGAGTCTGTTTGACATAAAAATGTTATTGAGAACTAGTTTATTTATTTCAGCATAATTACAAAGGTCTCCTAGAATACACAAAATTATAGGAAAATGAAATGAAAGAAATAATTGTTTTATCAGTAAGGCTGATAGTTTCTGAGCTGTTTTTTTTTAAAAAAAAATAGTGGTTTCTTGTTAAATCATGGGTGATCAAAGTTTTGATTTGCCTGGGCTACACCAAGTGAATAGGAATTATCCTGAGTATATAAAATATGTAATATAATTATTGTATATAAATCACATAATGTTAAAAGTTTACAATCTTCCGGGCCATATTACTACCTGTCCAGGTCCATGTGGCCCTTAGATCACGAGTTAGACAGGCCTATGTTAAATTGCAGTTCATTACATTAGCAGTTACAAATACATACATTAATCTAAGAACAATTTAAACCACAAGCTTGCAGTGGGACATGTTTGGATAAATTAGAAGTTCTAACAATTGATGAAGAAAAAAGATCTCCTTTCAGTGGAAACACTTCAATTTTTATGGGAATGCTTAAAGGAATTCAACTGAAAAAAGCAGAAAAATTCAGGTGTAGTACATATCTTCTGATTATACAAAACAAGGTTCTAATGAGCAATAGCAATAGTACTTAGACTTATAGCACTGCATAGTGCTTTACAGTATTCTGAACGGTTTACAGTGCCAGCTGATTGCTCTCAAAAATCTGGGTCTTTCATTTTACCAACCCTGGAAGGCTGAGTCAACCTTGAGCCTGTCATGGTCGAACTCCAGCCTGTGGGCACAGTTAGCCTGCAATACTGCATTCTAACTACTGAAAGATGCACTGAATGAAAAATGCACTGAATGCAGAATACTACAGGCATTTTCTTAAATGGATTTTAATTACAGATATTCCCTAAATTCCTTAAAGCAATGGGTGCATTTTGAATTTTGGAATTTTATGTGCTATAGAATAAAATAAAATAATTACAACTGAGATATGGTTAATTATAAGCAGTTGCTAAGGCTAATGCATAGCTAATCATAGAATGGGAGTATTTGGTTCTCATAAATAAAAAATAATATTTAACAAATTGTTTATTAAAATAACTATCGATTATTATGCAGATAATATAAATAAAATTGTTATTCTCACATTCCAGTAGTCTTTGCCACCATAATGATCATGAAGAAGATGTTCAGCTCTGTCTAACATCACTGACCTATTAAAATGAGAAAACTAAGTAAGGTAAAAATACATTAAGGCAGTTTTCCTCTGTGAGCTCCACAAGTATTTACTATGTACCCAAAGCAGTTTCTTAATAACAGTATGGAAGTAGATTTATTTTTCCTTTTGGGGGATCTTTTTTTAACTTTCCAATCTAGCCTATAGCCCTGTTACTTTCTGCTCTCCTATCTAAATTAAAACCAGGCTGAATTCCAAACTGTTTTAAACTTAAACTTTAACCTTAAAATTGACTTACTTAACTTCAAACTGATAAGGTCTTTCACTAAATTTGAAATATTTACACCTTCTACTAACCAGAACACTCATGCTAACTTACTTATTAACTAACTTGCTTAACTTTTTAAGATCTCAACAAAAATATATTGCAATAAATATAAATTTCAAAACTATTAAAAAACAGGACTGCATACATCTATATTATCCTTGTCATTATCTTTATCTGGGAAAACAAATTTTGAATGAAGTTACTTTAAATAGGTTTACATAATGTGTCCAAAATCTGGAACCCATGACTTCTGAGTGAATGATATACATGGCAATACCACTTACTTTAATATAATGTATTTCTTAGATCTGAAACCCTCTAGATGATACATTTCCAAACACCCATTGCTTTAAGCCAGTATACTTAAACAGTATAGAATGGTGGGCTTTGGAACTCATTCTGATCATAGGCTGTCCATCCTGTCTAGTGTCCAATCCACTGATGAAATTTTTTTATTTAGGATCATTTGAAGCTAAATTTGAAGAATAATTACCTAAGTCGAACAAGCATTTTAACTATATGGTAAAGTTTCAACTTTACCATATAGCTAAATAGTAACATTTCTATTTTATCATATAGCTACATTCAACTGCTCTAAGAAAAACTATTTCTGATATTAACTAAAATTTAAAATTCCAACAATACCCTTTTTGTCATCGTTAGTGGAATTACAAATGGGATTCAAGTTTTGTTGCAGAATATAAAGCACTCTTCATAAGTGCTCCAGAATTTGTGGGTGCTTCAACATTGGAAGTTTTTAAGAACAGACTGCACAACCATTTGTCTGAAATGGTATAAGGTTTCCAGTCTGAGTAGGAGGTTGGACTAGAAGACCTCCAAGGTCCCTTTTAACTCTGTTATTCTGTTATAACCACAAGAAAGATTCACAAATCCAAAACATGCTCCCCAGCCTCAATTTCCAATTTATATTATTTTCCCTTTACAATAGTTGTAAATTGGGATAATAAATACTCTCAATATTAGTAAGTTTGATGCATGAGAAAACATAAAATTCCCTACTTTCTTCTTCTAAGCTAAAATGATATGGTAAATATATGGAATAAAAAAATAATTCAGGAAGTCTCACCTGCTGGATGAATTTAAAAGCAAAGGGGCTACAACAGAAGCAGAACCTTGGACAGATAAACAAACCACTTTAAGGCCCCGAGTTTCTTCATAACCCCAGAACCACCCCCTATAAAAACAAGAAGAGTTAATAGTTTCATGAATACAAAGTAATAATAAATCTGAAATAAATCTTGATAATAACTCAATATAAGTTGATAACTCAATAGTAACTTGTTAAAATGTTATGGCATGAAGTAAAACATACAGTTAAAATTGTAGTATAAAGTACTACTTTAATACTTTCTTAAAATAAAAAGTTCAAAAATTCTTTAATAATGGATTACAATAAATCAGTTGAAGAGAATAGTGAGTATGGGTAAAAACAAACAAAACTGCATTACAAGTTAATTAAAAGGAAAAATACTTTATGAGCTTTAAACAAAGTTTAAAACAAAGAACAGGAAAGTCTAATTCCACTTTTTAAAAAATTACTATTCATTTTCTGAAAACAGTACAAATTTGAATCCTCCGAGGAGAAGTTGGTTCCTTTTTTTAGGAAGCATAGTACAGGAACCACATTTATTTTATATTCTTCTTTGGTTTTGCATATCTTCCCCTGTCCATCAATTCCCTGACTTTTTATAGATAAAACTGCTATCTATTTCACATGGATTTTCCCCCCATTTTTTCTAATTCATTAAGGCAATTAAATGAAAGATGACCACACTGAAGAAAGAACATTGTTTATTAAAAACAGTCAAATTTAAGTAATTAACTAGTGTCATTTCATTTTGTTTTCTGATATGATCATGGCAGAAAAACTGTTTTGGCTTCCAAATGGACAAAGTGGAGAAGTAGAAGACCAGATGATAGGAGAAAAAGAAGGCTGCAATTTGTGGAATATGGATGCTCAGTAGGAGAGTCTGTAAGTTGGGATGACATTTTATCTTGTCAGTTTTTGGAATGAATTTTGAAAAGCTGTGTTAAGTCTGTTTCAAGGCTAATAGTTTCACGTTTCATATAACAAAATAACAGGGAATTGTTTTCACAATTAAATTGCCACATGAAATTAAGAGTGCTGTTGGTGGTGGTGGTGGGTCTCTGAACATTTTTGGGACAATAAATAGACCTGGAATGTCATACTACTGATCTTTGATTTGGATTGTGAATTGCTTAGGAACAGACTTGACAAATTATAAAAATCTGTAAACTGCTGCAACCATTGGCTATCAACAGGGAGTTATTACCTAGATAATATATCTCCTATACAATGCTGTTTCCATTTATCTATTAATATAAGAAGATGAGGACTTTTAACACCCCAATAGCCTACATCCATCCCTTCCTGTTGCTCTTCTTGTTCTGTTACTTTCCTCCTCCCCAGAAAATATGGTTGGAAATTATTTTTCGTAGAGACTGTTAATAACTATAAAGATTAATATACCTGTAGTATTTATCTTTGTCTGTTGAATACATATGCTGGTCAATGCATGGTCTCTCATCAATCTTCTCCTCCCATGTACCCTCTTTCCATCCTTCAGCATAGTTTTGCAGGACATATATCTCATCAATAAAAGGACCACCTGACTCTAACAATTCAACATAAACCAGTACACAAATATAAGCATATATCTTGTTACAGATAATAGATGTACAATCATAACCAAGGCACTGTAGCCAGTAGATACAAAGTACACCACTGATTGTAAAGTAGTTAGTTATTTTATACTTTTTGGAACGGAGGTTTGAATAGAAGAATTTGAAATGGAGTCTATTTATGTTTAAGGGGAGAGCCAAATATCTTACATCAGAAAGAAAATTCCAAAGCATTTGTAAAGTTAATAAAATTGTATTCTCTCTCTCTCTCTCCACACATGTAACAAGCCTGTAACCACTAAATTCATAAACTTTACCTGCAATCATAGTGCTTTTCAACAGTGCAAATAGTTACCAAAAGTTTTAAATGGGGAATGCATATGATTGTACAGAAAGTTAAAAGATGTGCATAGAATTTAAATACAGAAATAGTATCTTAATACAGCTCACCTATCTTAATGCATAGAAAAAGCCAGATGAAACTATACTAAGGTTTCATATCATTGGTTCTTCTAAAGCATATGTTACCTGCAAGAAATTGTTCATATTCAATAACTTGTATGTTTTTATTGAGGCTTGTCACATCAAAAAATTTGGACCAAGGAATTTGGACTTGATGAATTTTAGGAGTTTGCCAATGATAAAGACGTCCCCATGGAGGCAGAACCAACACCCATGCTTCAGTCTTCAATAATGTCTTTAGAAGAGATGCAATTCGTATGAATACATCTCTACGTAGGTTGAAACCTTCAGGTGGATTAACATCATACAAAAGATACCTAGAGAAAATAAATATTACAAATAAACTATTATTAAACCATGATTTATAATCATTTCAATTTTAAAGAAGAGAAAAAGCAAAGCAACTATATTTTGGAATGATTATGAATTCAGACATTTACAAAATAATAGTTGAATAAAGTGACATGCTGCTTTGACATTCTATGATGGCTTCTCTTAATGTAACATCAACTATATGATATAAAAATAAATCTCCATTGTTATATATAAAAACCACTGCATTTCTTTTTATGCTTTCATGGTTTTTTTCTTCCTAATGCTAAGAAAGCTCCCAATAAATAATGTTTGTGTATACTGGAAGGGTTGTCATTGTCTGGGTATGCTTTGGTGTAGAGATATTTTGCACTAAGACAGCTAATTAAGTCTATGTCTCCTATCCTTGTCTATAATCTGTACAAAAACAATTGTCTTTTCAGTCATTCAAAATCTCACTCTTTGTGATTATTTAGTAATCGTAGCTACCAGTGTGGTATTGAGATATATACCCCCCCACACACACATATACATATATACATATACATATATATATGTGTGTGTGTGTGTGTGTGTGTGTGTGTGTGTATGTATATATATATATATATGTATGTATGTATGTATGTATGTATGTATATATGTATGTATGTATGTATCTATATCTCATTCAGCTTTGTTCGGGTATTTTCCCACGTCATTGTAGTTGTGCTTTTAAAGTTGTAGCAACGTTTCGGCAGAATCTCATCTGCCATCATCAGGCTTTTGTATTGTGTTCATCTGTGAGTCAGACTTTCACAGCCATTTCTGTTTTAAATTTGGGGCTAGCCTACTGCTGTGTGAGAATGGTTTTTTCTTCATCCTGATTGGTTGGGAGTCTTGGTCTGTGTTTATTGGTCCTGGAGTTTTCTGTGTTCTGCTTGATTGGTGTTTCTAATATCTTCTGTCTGTTTTGTGGCTTTTTTTGTCTTGATTGGCTGGCAACATTGTGTTCCTGTATTGGAGTCTTTTAGTGCAGCTTGGCTCCGAGTAAATGGACGGCTATCATTTATTAGGAAGCTAGGTATCATCTGGGTGCCTGGTTGGGGTGTGTTTGAGCTGGAGGTATCGGGGGGATCTGTTTGTGCCCAGGTGTTTTCCTGGCTTGTGGTGTGGAGAGTTTTTTGTTTGTGAGTGCAGGCTTCCAGATAATTGACAGTCTGGTGGAATCATCTCTTCTATTCATGCTTTCAGGTCTTTTTTCAATCTCTATGGCTTCTCTGTGGCTGGGGTTTTCTATAGTGGCTAGGGTTTTGGTGCCATTGAAGTCAATGCTACGACCTGTTGCTTTCACGTGTTGGACTAGTGAGGAAGTGTGTTCCAGATTTTTTACTGCAGTTTTGTGTTCATCCAGATGGGTACTTATTCTTCTATTGGTCTGTCCAATGTATGTGGCAGGGCATGATGCACAGGGGACTTCATATATGCCTTGGTTTTCCAGGTCAATTTTATCTTTGGGGTTTCTTAGGATGGCTGCTATTTTCCTGTCTGTTTTGAAGGCAGTCTTGATGTGATGCCTGTGTAGTATCTTACTGATTTTGTCTGTAGTACCTCTTTTGTAGGGCAGGACAGCTGTTCCATAGGTCTGTTCAACTTCTAGGTCTCCATTATGTCTCAGTGTGTTTTTGTGGATCAAGCTGGTGATTTTGCTTTTGTGGAAGCCGTTAGCTCTCAGTACTTTAGTCAGGGTACATAGTTCAGTCTTTATGTGTGTCTTGTTTGCCAGACAAGTCACAGACGAACACAATACAAAAGCCTAATGATGGCAGATGAGATTCTGCCAAAACGTTGCTACAACTTTAAAAGCACAACTATAATGACGTGGGAAAATACCCGAACAAAGCTGAATGCCATACATGTAAGTACCCACGAAAACTTAAGAAAACATATGTATGTGTGTGTGTGTGTGTGTGTGTGTGTGTGTATATCTTATACTGCAAGTAATGACATGCTATTTTCATTACTGAATGAAACATTGTTCTTGTATTTACTTATCCTATACTCATCAAACAATTTAAGAGCCCCTTCTTAAATATAACATGCTAAAAGTCCTTTCTCATTTACTGTTTTATCCAGTTATTCTACAATATCTTGTCCACGAGATTATACTAGGGAAGAGTCCAAGAAATAGTTTGTACTTTTTCTTCCCACCCCATCCCCTCAAATCCTGCTACCTCCTCTGATTACAACTTTACAGCAAAGTGCTGGTTCAAAACTACTAGGTATCCTATTACTCTCAATAAGCTTGGCTTTCATGAGTATTTAAGTCTCTCTGTGCTCCCTGAGCTTGGTTATTTGCTTCCAGACATTCTTACCCAAACAGATAAACAGCAATATGAACTGAGTGTGGGATTTGTCATCTTTATGTGCATGCAGTTCTATCTCTGTAAGTTTCAGTGGAGATGTTCATTACAAGCTATTGCATACTAACTGTAACCACCTCCTTTAAGTGTGCACTGTATGTCTATATCATATAAGATAAGAATTGTTAATTCAGGTAGTTGTCGAGTTATAACAGTTCATTTAGTGTCCATTCAAAGTTATAATGGCACTGAAAAGAGTGAGCCTTTTTCACACTTACAACCATTGTAGCGTCCCCATAGTCACATGATCACAATGCAGATGCTTGGCAACTAACTCATATTTATGACTGTTGCAATGATCACCAAGGTCCTGTGATCAATTACATTTTGTATACTTCTGGTAAGTCAATGGGGAAGCTAGATTCAATTAACAACTATGTTACTAACTTAACAACTGCAGTGATTCACTTATCAACTATAACAAGAAAAGTCACAAAATGGGGCAAAATTCACTTAAGAAATGTCTCATTTAGCAACAGAAAATTTGGGCTCAATCATGGTCATAAGTTGAGGACTACCTGTACTTCTTGGGAGACACTTTTAAGTTAGCTGTTATGCATACAAACACCTCCAACCCCAACTATTATTGGAAGAGGCAATTCTCAGGATAGGATGAGGTGGTGGAAAGCAGCTGAGTTTCTTTAAAATTTCCTCAATAGACTAACATTAAACAAAAGAGTCCAAATCAGACTTTTGAAGAGGCTGTTACAGTCTCCCTCATTGAGGAAATGGTCAAGAGCCAGAGAAGAAAAAGGCTGAGCGGGGGAACCGATCAGACCCTGAGGAATTCAAGCCACTAGGCAGGGGCAAGGAGCCACAACGCGGAGCAAGTTCGGCCGTGCTCTCGTATCCCCATAAACCGAGGCAGGGGTCTTTTGGGGGCGCTCCTTCGAGCTTCTTCACTGCAAAAAAAGGAAGGGGCCGAAGAACCCGGGCTAGGCTCCCTCAGTGGCAGGGGGTGACCTCCTAGGCCCCTTTGCCTCCGAGACCCGTCAGTCAAGGAAGTGAGGGGGGAGGCTGCAAACGCGCCCCTCGGGCCCGGCGCTTGCGCCGCTTCTCTCACCGTCTGAAAGGCGCCGCCACAGCAGCGGCGGGCAGGGAGGAGGCGCTGTGGCCCGCCTGGAAGGCTTCGAAGGGCGCCTGGGCGGCGGCGAGAACCAAAAAAACCAGGACGGGAGACAGACGGAGAAACCCCCAGCTCCAGCGTAGCGCCATCTGCGGCTTCTGCTACCGAGAGAAGGGGCGGGCTTAGTTGGGCTGGAGGCGGGCAGAGGAGAAAGTCCGATGGAAAACCTGGCTTGAATTTTGGAAGACGAGGCTGTTGTGCTTGACGGAGAAATGGGCGTACACCGGCGTTTTCGAGTGCCGGACGTTAAACCCTAACCCACAATATGGAATCCACCTTACAGCTTTTTGTTCTTCTCTTCTGGGGCAGTTACAAAGGGAGAATTACAGGGTTCCTTTGCTCGGTAGTGCACAACACGCTTAAGGAACTGTGATGATTTTCACTACTGTTGTTTTCTTCTCGGAAAAAAATAACCAAAAGCAACATTTGGAACGTGACTCATCGTAGAGGGGTTATAATTGTGACCTTCAGTGGCAGAGGATATTACTGGGTTCATTTTTGGGTGTGCAACAGGTTGGGTAGGAGTGGAAAACAGCACTTTGGTCCTGAAGCAGTTCAACTATGTATCTGGCCAACACCGTTTTCAAGAGGGAGCAGCAGCAGTGATGGTGAAAGTAGAATAGGAAGCAGGACAGGAGGGCAATTAGGAATTTTCAAAGCGTTTTGCTGGCCTGACTAGTAGATTTTCTAGCAAAATTGGTTCAGGGGTAATTGTATTCTGCTGACCAAGGAAGCAGGAGAAATTAAGAAAATAGGAGATTTATTTTAATGAAACAGCACATAAACACAACATTTAGAAATGGTGTTTTGACAGAGGTTCCAAGTTTGTGCCTGTCAGTTTGCTTAACTCCTGCAGAATTTGTGTTTCCTTTTCATACATCTGAAAAAGAGGAAGCCCATAATGAATGTGTACATTTTCTTTCAAATTATACAACAACGTCTGATCTTACAAACTTGGATTTGAATTTTGAAATTTAAACTTGAACTGACCAATCAATCAGAACATTTTAAAATGCATTTACATAAGCTTACATTTGGAAGCTTTTGAACAATAAAGTAAACTGAAAAATTAGAATTGTGTCAAATCAGTTAGATTTTTAGAATACTTACTTGTTGCCAGTCTGTTTCTGTGTTGTGTTTATAGCCAAGTAAGTGGCACATGCCATGGGCAACTGTCACCTGTTTAAGGGGAAAAAGCTTTTAAATTGTTTACATATTCATAACTGATAAGCAAAGTAGATTAGAGAAATCCCACCTCATAATAGTTTAAAATCACAATAGGAATAGTCATCATTTATAGAGAATACAGTGAAAACTTCAGTGTGATTTCTCCCTAGTGTCAGTGGAAAGGAGTTATAATCATAGAGTGAACAAATGTATTCAATGTATACCATTCAATTTAAACAGCATTTGATATTGCAAGCAATTCTACTAAAGTGGCTGGCAAACATTTTTTTCATAAATGGTGAGATCCCACCCCTTCTCTGCCTCAATGGGCACAGCTGGCAGACTAAGGAGCATGATAGACATTGAACATGCCCTCTACCAGCAGCAAGCAGGCTGCTAAGAACTCAGCTTGTCAATTCATTTTATTCCCATATTTTATTTTTAGATTTTTTTATTCTGCCTTTATTGTTAGTTTTTTTTTTACATAAACAACTCAAGGTGGGCAACATATGCAATACTCCTTCCTTCACTTATTTTCCCAACATCTCTGTGAAGTAGGTTTAGGTGAGATAGAATGAATGGCCCAAGGTCAAGCAGACTATTTTCATGCCTCAGGTGGGGCTAGAACACAATGTCCCTGTTTCTAGCCTGGTGTCTTAACCAGTAGATCCCCATAGCACATCATTTTTAAACAAGGTTAGATTTCATCAAGATTAAACAGGTAGGGAAAGCATGACTTTTGGAACTCTTACCCACTCTTTAATAATAGGTTCCACTGAGTCATGTGACCAGCTGTTTGGGGGATCTTAGTACTGAGCTGGCAACATTCCTGGAGCTGGGAAGGTCAACTGACAAACACAAAGAGCGGTAACCATAAGATTTCACAATATATTTTGAGTTGGCATAATGATTTAGATAGCTTAAGTATGAAAAGAAAAAAGGTAGTGACTTGTTTAAGAAAAAAAAATCTTGCAATAAACACATACTACAAAAAATGAGAAAGCTAAAAATAAACTCTGAGAACAAGCATGTTATGGGCTAAGTTGAGGAATACTGCAGTTCAAAAAAAAAAAAAAGGACTACCAAACTTGTGCTGTCAAAATCAGGACAACTACTTGATGGCAGCAAAAGGATAGAGACAACTTGTTTCTGCCATATAGTGATCATTTGTGTAGTACATGTATGTTATTCTAGATGTGAAACAGTAAGATTTCTGTCAGTGGGACTGAGACATTAACATATTTTCTGATACCAAAAAGTTTTTTAATAACGGAAGAAATAACAATAAAATATTTCATTTTTATAAATCATTTGATTGAACATTTCAGAACCTTATTCAAATAAAAAATACTACTTTTATAAATGTACACTTACTGTAAGAATACTGTTATAATCGTCATGGTTCTGTCTACATTGTTGATAGATATATTCTACTCCTAGAAAAATGTCTCCCAAATTGTAGTCATCTTGAATACAGGGCTGGGGTAATTCTCCACCTTTCAGATTCTGTGATATCCCCAAAGAAAATTCAGTTACATACATGTTCTCAATTTGGTAAAACAAATGCCATGTAGAAAATGAAATAGGGATGTTAAGAACAGACCATACAATATTTCTAAACACTTTATGGTAATAAAAGACATGACTACTTGAATCAGGGAGATATTAATTTATTTTTTTCTCCTTCTCCCATTCTAACTTTTACTTGGTTGCTTCTTCTTCAATAAGTATACTTATGCGTTATGATTTATAAGCTATGGCTTCCTTCTTGAAACAAATTTCCATATCGCACTAAGCCAAAGCAAACCTTATGACTTAGTATTAGGTATATATCAGGATTGCTTAGGAATAATAATATATGTAAGCTCAATGGTCTACTCTCTGAAGTTTTCAGTGGTATTTATTTCCATCTAAACTTGCTTAGGACATGAATTCTCTGAGTCAATTGCAGAGAATATGAAGATCAGTTGTACTTCTATCCCCCTACAGTAACTCACAAATAAAACATTTATTCATTTATTAAATTTTTGCCTAGTGCTGACTCTAAACAGCTTAGAATAGGGGTCTTCAAACTTGACAGCTTTAAGACTTGTGGACTTCAACTCCCAGAGTTCCTCCTCCACTCATGTTAGCTCAGGAATTCTGGGAGTTGAAGCCCACAAGTCTTAAACTTGCCAAGACCCTTGGCTTAGAAGAACAGTAAAACATCAAACATCAAAAAACATGTAAAAACATCAAAAAAGATAATACATATTATCATTAAAATTTACATTTACTTTCTTCTCACATGTATCAATTCCAAAAGTTACAAAATAGAGCTTGAAAAACAAGTAATAATCTTTTAGGCATCCATTTGTTCATACATTCTACAAAACCCACTAATGAATATTGATGCATTTTTTTGTACCCTTACATAATGAGCCCTGATGCTTTTCAAGGCCTTCATTTTTGATGTGCCACAGTAATTGTCCTTTCCTTTATCATTAAGATTCCTGGGTAGGCCCTGAATCATTCCTAATTTATCTGACTTTTCTGTTGTTTCGTATCATAAATAAATACGATACTGTTCTATGTACTAATACCTGATTTCTGATAAAATTATTGCTAAACTCTAAAGGAATAAATGAGCAAACACATACCTCATGAAAAGGAAAAGATAACACATCAGTAGGAATATTCTTCTTTCTGTAAGTTCTGTTAAGTTGCTGTATGTACATATTACTAACACAAATTACACCAAGGTCAAACTCTTGCACACCCAAAATAGAACGGAGTTGTTCTATGTTCTTGCGAAGTGGGACTCTCCTGATTGGAATAGCTCTTTGCAAATTACGTATGATCAAGCTCATCTCATAAAAATTGCTGAAGAACTTCACACAGCCCTGCAAAATAGACTATGATTAGACACCAATTACTAGTGGGTGGAACAACTTAAAATGACAAGTAATGCAATATTTTGGATAACAAAATAATTGTAGCATATTTATTTTATTTTGAATTGCTAGGTTTCCTAAGACAAAAAGGCACTCCCTAAAGAGTTTTTGCAAAGTAAGAGAATAGAAACTGAAACCTGGGGGAAAAAATGGCCCAAATGACTCTAAGGTAAAGCCTGATATACTAACAGCAAAAGCACTCATCCAGCTAAACCATACAATTGTGAGGTTACTGCTTTTTCACTAGAATTCAGTGCTCAGAGAGCCCTTTTCAGATCCATTTTCAATTGAAAATAGCATCTGAAATGACAGAATGTTAAGATCAAGAAATTAAAAAACTATTACAGTGCAGTGGTGATGCTTCAACTGCCCCAGTTTTTGTGAGTTTATAGGCAAGAAAAGAATGATTGCTGTGTCTGAGCCCGGCTCTCCCACCAAAAAAGCAGAGATGAAAAAAAAAAAACAGGAATTCCCAGCCACCCACCCTCTTTTGAAATGAATACTTAATCTTGACAAACATTTCCCTCTACCAGCTTCTACAAACACTGTAAGTTGTGAGGGGACATTATAATTTAGAACAAGAGTCTTCAAACTTGACAGCTTTAGGACTTGTGGACTTCAACTCCCAGAATTCCTGAGCTAACACGACTGGAGGAGGAATTCTGGGAATTGAAGTCCACAAGTCTTAAAGCTGTCAAGTTTGAAGACCCGATTTAGAAAGTGGTTGTGAATACCCTAACCCAGGCTTTCTCAAACTTGGCAGCTTTAAGATAGGTGGTCGCAGTATGTGCCTGTGTGTGTGAGTGAGTGAGGATTCTGGGTGCTGAGGTCCACCCATCCTAAAGTTGTCAAGGTCGTGAAACCCTGCTCTAATCCAGAGCAAAACATTCAAACTAGACAGAAGTGGGGCTTCCGTGAAATATACCTTTGTCGCAAACCTCGTCCGTGCTAATCACTCCTTAATCACTCTGTATTAAAAACTACCCCCAGGCTTTTCCTCA